TTCCCTGAAAGCTTTCATTCCGCTGTCAGGCTGGCTTTTTTTTTTTTTTTTTTTTTTTGAAATTTTTAAAAGTCCTGCCGAGTCAGCACTCAACGCTGTTGACATTTTAAATATTATACATTCAAATAGTCACCTACAAAGCGCTTTCGCAAAGAGTATGCCGAACGAGTGCAAAGCACAATGGGCGTTCTTTGCAGCATTTGTACTTAGTTTGTGCCTGCACTTAAGTTAGTTGCCATGCTAGCAGGGGCCTACAGTCTTAAATACGTTCGGTGTCATTATGGTTGAAGGACAACTCTTCTGCTAAATAAATACATGACTACACACACATATTTATATTTCTCTTTATATTTATGAATAGTAAGGGAGAATAATTTTTGTTGCACATTCATGTACAAATATATTTTTTGTGTATTTTAAGAGCACAGTTATAAATAAAATGAAATTTATTCTAACACAAAAAATAATTGTAAACATGTCTACAGTCATATCAGCAAAACTCAACACAGTTGTCGGCTTTTAGCTCTCATACGGTGAATGTTCGTCTGAAACAAAGCGGAGAAGTTTGCTTGAAACTGGCCAGTTCCGTGTTGTTGTAGGGAGCCCAAAAAATGGAAATATGGTTCTAAATGATTGACGTGACTGTCATGTTGGCGCTCGTGTAAGTATACATACACATATGATCATCAGTATGCGCGTAATCTTTCGTCACCGGTGGGTGCTACCATGGAGCCACCAAAAATGCTTCTAAGTGAATTTAAACAAAGCAGCTTTAATGCATTATGTATTTGTGTAGCACATACATATGTGTTTATGTAAATGTAATTTTTTTTTTGTTTTCACATATATGCACATTATTTTTATTGTACTGGCAGCTCACAGCTATGTGTGTATGTGTTGGTTGCCCGTCAGTGCCTGCACATTTAATCCGATTACAAATGTGTCGTCCATTACATTTTTTGCGCATATGTACTTGCTCTGGTACTTTAAAGCATGTACTTACTAAGCATATACATTAATAATTGTAATTTGTATGTGTGGGCGAGTTAATGCCTGCTTGTTTTTGTTAATCCTTGCAAAGCACTCGGAGGTTTTGTCGAAAGTCGAGCTTTTATTAACGCTGTGGGCCATGTAGGGCAAGTGCAAATGGGATTTTTTTAAAAGAATTTTTGCAATTGGAATGAAAAAGATTACGAATTACTGTTATTAAAAATTAATAAGCTAGTTATTCAAAAATAATCTGATTTGAGTTTTAGCTATCAAAATTATTTGACGTTAATGACAGCAGTGTTCGATTCGCATCTTCTATGCTCGTTGTGTTCTCACCACGTTGTGGAACTCACTAAATTGTTAATATTGATTTTTATTCTATTTAATAAATGCGCTTGTACATTTACTTTATGGCAATTAATTTTAAGACTACCTTTTAGTAGAGATATTAAAACAAATTCTCTATAAATATATGTACCAGTTTGATTTTTATAGCCAGTTAACGTTTATACCAGTTTTTATTTCGACCATAATTCATCGAATATATCGGTTAAAATGTTTTATATACATTATACCAGTTTATACCATTTTATTTATTTTATACCAGTTACTTGATTTACCATAATTTAATGTGCATTTCGCAGATATATTGATTTAAGCATTTTTTATACATTTAGTTTATAAAATTTGTATACTTATTTACACCAGTGAGTTTTTCTTATGGTTTTTATTATCTACATACATGTATTGATCATCTTCCATGTAATTATACCAGTTCAGATATTTTACAGATTTTTTTCTTTTATACCAATTAATTGTTTCATAGGAATTTATCATGTATATAGCAGATGTATTGATTCGAGCGTCTTCTGTACATTTTTGTTTGTTTATTTTTGTTAAAAAAATTTTATACTTATTTATACCATTTAATTTATTTAATGCCAGTTATTTGTTTTAAAGTATTTTATTATATATATAGCATATAAATCGATTGCAGCATCTATTATCTAATTATACCAGTTTAGGTATTTTATAATTTTGTCTATTTTATACCAATTATTTGTTTAATAGTAATTTATCATGTACATTTATCACATTTTTATAGGTTCATTCATATTTATCGTGTATATCGTTCGAGGAAATGTTTTATTTAACTAAAACAGCTTTTATAAAAAAATTAATTTACACAAGTTTTCTTTTTGACCATAATTCGCGCAAAAAGCGATTTGAAGACAAATTATTTATAGTTGTGTATATTCTTGAAAGATGTATTTTATTCAATTTTTTTTTAAATTTAATTTTTATAAAAGAATATTGTAAACCAGTTTTCTGTGTGACCACATTTATCGCTTTGAAGACGTCCTAAATTTAATTATTTTACGTAAGCTTTTTATAGCGGTGTTTTGCTTGATTCTTCACTGTCCAAGGCGTTTCAAAGAGCTCGTTGGCTGATACAATGGTGTTCTCAGTACAAACGAAATTACAATCGAACTACTAAGTTTTTCTGAGCTGATTTTTCATTTCAGTGAGGTAGTTGTTATGAGCAGTTTTCGACGTATTATGATATGAGTACCTAAAATTTTGGGTGATTTCTGCTATTTAAAGCGGCCGGCAAAAGAATACTCAGCAATTAAACCCTACGATTTTTTAAGCTATGCGCCTTTGATTGAATCAACTCCGATTTCAAATGAAGAATTGTACTGTGACTGGTGAACTTTTGAGGTAACCCAAATGGAATTCTCTTCTTATTTCAACAATAAATAAATGAGCGAAAAATTTTCATATCTGAGATTTTACCAAAGTTATTAGAGAGAAAAACTTAGTTGAATATAGTATTCTGTTCAATCTGCTTAGTAGCTCAGGTTCGAAGTGATGGATACATCGATCATAAAGGAGATTACGTTGGTTTAGTTTACTTTTTTCGTATTATCTTGGATTGCGCGGCAATTTTTTCGGTATCCAAGTAAATATTCAAAATATGAATAGAGAGTTTTTACCTACTTTGAGATGCTTAACGGATTCTATTTGGTGGTCGAAAAAGTATTTTCGTACTTTGTCAATAGATGTCGTTGCAGCAATAAACAAAGTTTCGATGAGATAAATTCGTCGATCACAAAACTGGCTAGGCTGAGAGAATTAAAATTTGTTTGCCTAATCTGGGATAGCACGATAACTTCTTCGGTGTCCAACTAAATATTTATATTTTTAAAACACTCATAGGTATACTCGTATATTGCACTTTAGAGTTTCCTCAGTAACGCAAAAAATCAGTAAGAAGCATAAATATACTACGTAGTATGTTCGCAAATATAATATATATTATAGAGGGTCTTTTGTGGAGGTCTACAGTTAAAATTGAATTGAAATAAATCACAGCGAAATTTATAAAATGATCATTCCTTTGGCTGAACTGGTTTTCAAATGTTATGTAGCTTATTTTTTCTGGCATATGATGCAGCGGCTCATCTCAAAATCGTCCGGTCGGGGTAATTTATAAATACTCCCAGTATAACAGCCACTAACTCGTTAATAGTGCGAGCAGTATTGGTTTGCTGCTGATCACACCCATTAACACATTCTTTTGACTTGATGGGGCTCAGCACGAAAGAGTCTAACGGAGTCTAATAAAGTGGATTAGAAATTCCAAACAATTCTTAATACACATGTCATATACAACTTTTTGATATTACTATCAAAATTTCGTAAATTGAATAGAAACGTCAAACCCATATGCTTTATATGACAGCTGGTTTGACAGATGTAGCTCTACAAACATTTATAGCACAAAAACATACACCCTATATTATAGCATTTATTCACTGAAATTCCGAAACAAAACTTTTGTTGTTGACTGTCAAAATATCACCAACTAAAAAAATATTTTAGTTTGGCATTAACTAAAACTGTTGTTACACTCTCATGGCAACTGACTTGTTACTTTTTGGCAGTTACATGAATTGCAGCTGTTTCATATGGTCGGCGGTTCATCACTACACACACTACACATACATATGTAAGTGATTACAAATACATACATACATATATATATGGGGAGCTTACAAATCCGCATGTATAACTGTATGCTCATGCATTTGCAGCCTGTGGAGTTATTCACATGTAAATATGTTTGCACTAATAGACTCACATACGAGAAACAACAACAAGAACAACTAAAACGAGTAATCAAGGCACAAACAAAATATACAAAACAACAAAAACTATACAAGTAGAGTGCAAAAAAAAAAAAAAAAAAAAAAAAAAAAAAAAAAAAAATTAAAATAAATAATTTAGTTTTTTCTAGTTGATAGTCATAACTTAGAGGGAAAAGGAGTAGACAACGGTAGGGCGAATGTTGTAAATTTTGAGTGAAGACAACGCTTCAACAACGTCGGCAATCAATGAAGTATGAAAATTAACGAATTTCGAGAGAAAAAAAAAAAAACTATGTATGTATATGCAAGACTCGCAACGTGACTAAGCTTCTCGCCAAAAGCGCCACGTTTTGGGGTTGGAGAGAAACTGCTTCACATCGCCACCTTCTTATTATAAAGAGTATGCTTGTTTGCTTTGTTTCGCTAGTCATTTGTCACTTACCTTGTAAATACTGCGCTGGATGTAGACCGAAGGCCTGCAATTGCTGGAATAGGTGTAGTTGTGCGGCCGACGCATTCATGGCATCCGTGGTGGTCAGGTATGGCGATGCTTGCTGCGCTGCTGTGCCGGCGGCCGTTAGTAGCGATGGCGACACTGAGATCGCTGCCGATGTTGGTACCAAAGCGGAGGCAGGATTAGCGACAGCGGTGGGTTGTGGTGCAGCGGCTACGGCTGCCAATGCTGCCGACATTGAGGAATTTGAGCGCACGCTGGCTGCCGTTAGGGGGCTGGGTACTAGGGTGGCGCCCGAAGCCGGACTGAGGCCGTTGGTAGGCGTCGCAGCCAGACCAGCAATGCTGCCGGTGGAGGGGGTCGTCAGTGCGGTGATGCCGACAAGACTCGCCTGCAGCTGCTGCATTTTCTTTTGGTCCTTCTCCTTTTGTGTGTCGGCGAATTTGACAACGAGCGGCGCCGAACAACCCTCCATGGTGCGGCTTTGATGCAGAGCCTGAAATGGCGTGAAATAATGTGCATGAAAATCGCGTTGTAGTCAAGTGTTAAAATTGGTGTTTGTGTGTGTAATACTAAACGCTGGCGCGCATAAGGTTTAAATGCAGAAAGTTTCCACATTTTATTTCCGAAGTGCTGAGAAAATGTGTTTTTAATTTAACGTCACGACATAAGCTAAACGCTGGCGTATCTTTCGCAAGTGTCTATTCTATTTCGTGTATTTAAAAGCATATGTATCGCAAAGTGTGTGCATTGTCTGGTGCTTTGGTGGCAGAAATTGTCTTAAGCGTTACTGCCCCACTGCTGGCGGGTTAACGCGCAGGAAATTTTCCTAATTACTCTCATGCACTGTAAGACAATACTGCAGCAAAGCCTGCGGTGGCCAGGAATTATGGTGACGGTAATTAAAGACCACTGCCGGCACACTGTCTGTGTGGTGAGTTTATTGCAGGCTAAGCTAGAAATCGGCAACACGCCGCAACAAGCCCGAAACACTTCGAAGCTCTTAAACCGGCAAAGAGATCACATTACAACCGCGTTGTAGCTGCCACTTGCAGTTGAGGCAAGCATATTTTGTGTAATTAAATGGAGATAAAGAGAGAGGAGAAAATGTTTAGACTTTTGCAGTGCTTTTAAATTACTTTAAGCACCAAAGTACATAAAAGTTACAGTTATTCTAGATTGACAGGATTTCTGAAGATATGCGTTCCCTAGTGTTTATGTCTTGATCTCCTAAACGCGAGAGAGCCAAGAAATAAGTGTTGAGTTGTTTCCTCCTCCTCTTCTGCCGAACAGCTTCTCAAAATGTCATCTGGTAATATTTCCAAGACGCGAATAGGGCAATAGTCGGTTAAAAGCCCTCAAGACAGAGGCTGCCTTAGTGAGATCAAAAAGAGATCACTAGATCACCTGCAATCAATCTTGAGCCAAAAAACTTTTTAAACAGCGAAGCCTGATCCCATTCTACCGATATCGGTTCTAGGTTGCTTACCTTCTATGCTAGTTCATTAGCTTAACAATATCCTACGATTCCGCTATGACCTGGCACTCATACCAGTCTTATCACAAAGACACTCAATGCTATTGATAGCGAGGTCAGGCGCACCGCTCCTCTCCCCTCTCCTCGAATGGCTTCTTCTCACCTATAACCCTCTCGTCGAAATATGGGCAGAGAAGAAGCCGCCAGCTTTCGGTTTGGCGACTCCCCGATCTGGATGATCCGGTATGAAGTCAAAGTGTGCGTGAATATATGAGTGTTCAGATACGCGTTCTCTTAAGAATCCAGATTCTCTGAGTCTAATAGCCACTTTCGTGGCCACACGTCTTTCGGCGATGTCTACGGGCAATACTATATATTCAAAATGGCTTTAAGTGTCTTGGTTAGAGCGAATCTTAATGCCCACACATGCTGATGAGCGCCGCCCGTTGAACGCTCTATAGTTTCTTTGCAATTGTGGTCTTTTCTAGAGCCCTCCACCAGATAAACATTCCAATAGGCTTGCCTATTGTGCCAATGGCTCCTCTCCAGCAGCATAATACAGCCCTATAATGACTTGAGTTTGATCTCTATAATGACTCTGTCAGTTTGACTGGCACATATGTATACGCAATATTTGTACGATCTGAACAATTTCTTCCGAGATTATAGAGATTCTTTGGATCTATAAAAACTTCGTGAAAATATCTTGTCAACTAAAGAAGTTTGTCATATAAGAACTTGAGTTTGATCGAACAGTTTGTATGGCAACTATATGTTATAATTGTACTTTAACAGCGACTCCGACAAATAACCAGCTTTTTGGTGTGAAATGGAAGTGTGAAAATTTCACTTCGATGGCGTATATACCAAATCAATTCAGCTTGTCAATTTTACCATATATACTTTATAGGGGGTTCAAGGTATAAAAAAGTTACAATAATAGAAAAAAAACTTACATAGTCTAATCTTTTAGCAGCTTATGTCACAGTGAGTTCCGGAAAAAGAACTCTTTGGGACGTAAAAGGGTGAATGAAAGCATCCTTAGCTACATAAAGAACATCTATATACTTTTACAAATAATATCTAAAGCTATCCATTAATAATCGATTCATTTTCGTTAAAAACTAAGTATTGAAATTGCTGCCTCTTTTCACGTTTTTCATCTTTCCTACTTTCAATTTCTTCAAAGTCAACTTAAAGCGAACTTCTCGCAAATTCAATATGAATTTCAAACCCTTGAGAATTTCATTTCCACTATCATTTCTACACTATGTATTTCTATACTATGTATTTCTAGGTTATACTTTGTCGTACTTTTGAAATTTCCGTATCTTTTTGCAATAAGTCGCGGGTATATTTTTGCAGTAACTGTCAAGATGATTAATTGCACCAACACTAGTGTTGGTTGTACGCTCGTACCTAGAATATTTGCCATACAATCGTGAGAGGCTTCACGAAGTAAGCGGCAGGTGTGTATTTATAGTTATAACAAGGCTGGAGTATGGCCCAGCTTGCACTCAAACTCCTAGATATACATACATACATGCATTTACAAGAACAGCGGAAGAGGTCAACTAATAGTACATGGGAAATGAAGTAAAATCACAAACTTCCGCTGCAGATGGACATTAAGGGACAAACAAACACATGTAAGTGTGTACATACATATTTACATAAATATTCATTCTAATGAGGGAGGCGGTGCTTTATTTGAAAATTTGGAGGGTTGGGGAGTAATTTTCCAAGGCATTATGTGAGCACATTATTTATGCAACAATGGGTTTGTAATTATAATTGCTTTAAGTTCTTATATATGGATTTGAAGATTTGTATTTAAGCCGTTCCGTTTAAAGAGTAAAATTGTCTCAAAAAAGAGGTGAATGAAGTAGCATTACGGCTGTTTATGCTAAAGCTGGTTTCGAAAGCATTCGAGTTTGAAAATTCTTAATATCTATTTTGTGTTCTATTTAGTACTAATTGCCTTTAGTGAGTCAAATATTGTGGATAAAAAACTGGTATAAGTCATAATAGTAGCATAAGAGAATATAAGGAAAAAGCTTAGACAGTTTTAACTAGTTATTCAGCGCTAACAGTACTCGATTCGACAATGTTTGGATGCAAGATAAAAACTGGTATAAGTGAAATGACTGATTGGTATAAGACAAATGACTCACGTATGAATTATTGCTCTAATTGACTTCCATCCATTTAACCATGCAGTTAAACGAGTTTGTCGTTGTAGATGAAAAATTGGTATAAGTCAAAATAATGACAAAAAAAAAAAAAAAAAAAAAAAAAAAAAAAAAAAAAAAAAAAAAAAAAAAAAAAAAAAAAAAAAAAAAAAAAAAAAACGACCAGAATGTAACAGAGTATACAGTTTTACTGTGATATTCAGCAGCACCTGTCTGGGATTTGACAATGCTTGGAGAAATGCAATGTAAGGAGCCAGTTTGTCCTTGGAGATAAAAATTGGTATAAAGCATTGAACAAATTTGGTATAAATCAAAATTAGAATAAATGTATAAGGTCGAGTTGAAAAGCTTATACCATTAAAATTATAGGTACTCTTGGAGATAACAAAAATTAGTATAATCCCAAAGGCTAGCATACACTAACTGAAGTAGAATGGAAAAACTTTATTTCATTTTTTAAAAATAATCAAGTGCGATTAACTTCAAATCAATCTAGGTGGGTTAAAAGATCGATCTCAACATGCACCGCACTTGAATACTTCAGAACGCTGGTCCATTGCTATAACAAAATCTTCAGTATAATTGATTACAAGACACTCATAAATCGACCAATTGGTCTATCATAAATCTGTTCTGACTTGCAACAGCTGGACTGTGAAAGCCGGACAGCTGGTGGCTGGCTATTTCCATCTCACCTTCTTTCGTACCTACACCAACGAAAGATACATTTAACTGGTAACCAGTTAAAGACCAACAGAATCCTACAGCTGCATAGAAGCTGATCGTGGACAAAGCCTGCAGAAATCATGCGAAGTCCATAGATCCAGTGCTAGAACGCAAGATGACTCATCTCGTTTCCATTACGTTGTGAGCAGCTGAAAGCTGAACCTTCTGCTTGTTTCTTTTCCCAAAGGAAAGACACACTCCTTGACTAATTTCAAACGTACATTTTATAAACTTAGCTTTAGTAATGCTTCTCTTTTGGAGCAACATGTTTACCGCCACCATAATAGCAGTCACTTCAGTGTGAACTCCATTGGCCCGACAGCTTAAGCTAAGCTGGACCTATAGTTCCATATAGGAAACTCCCTTCAACCTTTCCTTCTGTCCCTGACAAATCCATGAAAAAGCTCTCTACGTCTCTTTTCAAAAATTTCTTCTCATCCATATGTCACTCGTCGGTATGAGAATAGGGAAAAATCCATCCTCTTCATAGCCTCTTCAAAGTGTTCCAAGTTTTCAGAGATGCAGTTGAAGGTGGAGATAAATTTAGAGTATCCCTCTTGGACTCCTTCAATTACCTTGCTTTCCTAAGCCTGAAAGTCACCTTCGAAGAAATGCAGCTGTCTGCAATATCCAAGGGTCCATTTTGTAAAATGGCATTAAGGGCAGAGATGCCTGTGAGAGCCGTACTTTGGATACGCTCAAGCTTCTTGATGAATGTAACCTTTTTGAGAACCTTCCACGCAACGAATACAACACAAAATATATTTGACTTGCCTGCGTTTCTTCCTGCATATAGCGTATCTGCATAGAGTATCTGAAAAGAGTAAGGAAGACATCGGTTGCGCTATATTACTGCAGATACGCTATAAGTAGGAAGAACTGTAGAGTATCGCCAAAACAGATTGAAGACGTAAGCTACCGAATGAGAGAGAGAAACGTCTGGGACTTTATACTTTTTTACACACGCCCGCAGGATGAGGCTGACAGATCGAGAAGACTGCAGGAAATATCTAGAGTAGGGCAACAGAGCAATAATGCAGCGTCTTTTGTGCACTTGTCCCGCATTGACAAGACATCCCAAACGATAACTATTCCTCTTGGACTTAACAAGTGAACTCCATCTGGTATTTTAAAGGACCAAACTGATCTAAGCGTGGCTTATTGGCCTACCAGATTAACCTAACCTAACTTGAATTTAATTCTTAATACCTGCAGCCACCGAAGTTTGCAAATTTCGCTCAGATATTGGATTTCTCTTATGTCATTGCGACCTAAAGAACACAAACTGCATTATCTTTAAATGCTTATGTGCAAATGTTTAATCGATTTATATGGTTGGAAGGCAAGTGTCAAGCGGAACGCGGCCATGGAAGACAAAAATGTTGCCACATTTGTGTTATACGCGTTTTTGCGCTTTATAATTTGCTGCCATTGGCGGAGATGCAGCAGACATGTGTACTCAAGTGCAAATACAGACAGACACACACACATACAGCCATGCAGGGGTGTAAATACATAAAATCGATAGCAGCAAGCGATTTTTTCATTTTTTCTCCGGCGGCACGGAACGTGCAACACATTTGCGCTATAAATTTAAAAATTCGCGTGAAAAGTTGTAAGCATAGGAAATAAGCAGCGAAACATGCCACAACTCAGTTGCGCCGTGAAGTAAAACTTTATTGTGTTGCAGCGCAGGGTGGCGAGGGCGGCAAAAACGTCGCAGGATTGTGACCGTGTGCGGGAAGGGGCGCATATCAAGCCACACAAAACTACACATTTACAAAAAACACCAACAAGCTACGCTTTTAACTGTTTATAGTTGCCGCGGCCGGATTGCTTGCATCCTAGTTGCATTCTACTTCACGTTGCATTTAATATTTATGTGTAATGCTTATCCGTTGCAATTTATTTTCTTGTAGCGCGCCATTGCCGAGCGCGCGCTTGATGCTGTTGACGACGTCGTCGCCGGCAAGGCCTTCCGCCTGCCGCACAGCCGATCAAAAGGGCTTATTTTTCATATGCCACATATTTACACAAAATATATATGTAGATGCACATATTCACACATATACATATATACATACATATATAGACATGATAAATATATATTTTTAAGGATATATGCGCGCTGGCTGCCTGATTAGGGGAGTGCGGTCGTTGCCATGGCTTGCATGCAGTGCATATGGCATGCGGTACTCGGCATGTTTTGCGCCATGCAACATCGTATGATTTTGACATTGCTTGCCATCCACATGTAGCAGCTTTTGTTCTTGTCGCAGCGCTTTAACAATGCAATGTTGCCAGATGTAATCAGCGAAATTTATTGAACTTTATTGTTGTAGTTTATGCGACCGCGTAGTTGCAACGTTGCAAATGGAAAAGGCTTGTCATCAGTGGCTTTGAAAATTTAAGTTTATTTGTGCCGAAGGATCGAGGAGAAAGCTGTGCAACTTTTCGTTTCTGTTATCCAGACATATTATTAGGAATTGCTCAAATCTGGCAAGGCTGCTGTAACTTACAAGTCTGAATATTTATACTCCCTCAACATGCTGCATAAGGTATAAACAATTTTTTTTAACTAAGAGTTGTTTTTAAAACCTTAAACTACGCAATACAGATGTAGACCTATATGTATCAAAATGATCTGGAAAAGATTGAGCTTAAATCCGAGTGACTGTCTGACCGAATGTCAAACACCGAGCTTAATGATTTCGGAACTTCCGGTTGACTTTGTACGATCCTTATTCATCCATATTCATCGATTGCTTCATTCTGCTGTAGAGGAGCTATTGACAAAAGGTGGGTCTCTCACCCAAAGTAGTCCTCTGGCTCTTTGACACCATAGTTAAGCCCATTATCTTCATTGTAGTCTTTATATGGTGGAGAGTTCTGGATGATACCACATTTGCAAAAAAGCTCGAGAGCGTTCAACAGGAGGCGCTGTAATCATAACACTTAACGCCATCTTGCAAATAGTGTCGGTGGACATCAGCGGAAGGCTGCGAACGTGGCTATCAGACTCGGAGAATCTGAGTTGTTAAAAGAACGAGTATCTGAACACTAGGATATCCTCACGCGTTTTGACTTCATACCAGATCACTAAGAGCATGGAGTCGCCAAACAGAACTCTAGCGGCTCCTTCTCTACTCACATAGCAACGTCTGAGCTTCTTTACGGATTGGTCACAACTTGGAGAAAAGCTCTCTATCAACTCCAACTTCAGACTTCCTGAATATTGCACTGTCTTCCAAGCCGAGGTTGCAACCATTAATATAGCAGTAGATCTGCTGCTCCGAAATGCAGCCTCTTTCAGAGAAGTGACCATTCATTCAGATAGCAGAACAGTGATATTAGCCTAGAACTAATTTACAGTGCGCTCACGGTTGGACGAGGAGTGCCTTACGTAGCTATCAGTAGCAGCGAGTGTCTTTCTGATAATACTAGTATGGGTGCAGAGCCACAACGGATTCGTAGGAAATTATAAAGGTGATGAGCTAATAAGGTAGAATGGGATCGAGTCGGTGCTCACGTGTACTCTTGTTCACGGAAGCTTGGGAATTTTATCAGATGCCATTTGCAGATAAGGTGGAAACAACTCAACGCTTCATTCCTTCTTGACTGTGACGCGTTTGGGAGGTTAATATATGTATATTTCATATTGGCTTATTTTAATGAAGTTAAAAAGTAGCATATGTATTATCTCAGACCTATGGAGCTTTAGTGCTATAGATTGAAGAAATCGGTACATATCGGTCTACTAACTAGTTTGTAACCATTATATAACGACCATATAACCTATATATAACCAATACAAAAATTTCCAACTTTTGGTTTAATTTCAAGTGAATCATTATTTAGACAAATAACTGTTATTGAACTCATGTGCAAAGTTGTTTTCGTCATATGAGTCGTACAAAGTTCGGGTTTACAAACTCTTCCACTGCATCCGCACTTAGCCCCTCCCTACTTGTCTTATTTAACTTGTTATTTCATGATTTCCCGTTGCAGTTGAGCTGCATTGTGTGTGATTGAAGTAGTTGTTGTTTTATTGCTATTGCCACAGCCAGTGCATTTCAGCCAAAATGATACCGTCGCCAATTTGTCAAGTGCCACACACTGAGCGCGCCACGCATAAGTCGTCGGTGGTGGCAAGTACTACATGCATTTTATTTAAACGGTTTTGCTGGGTGCTCAGCATTTAACTTTTATTTTCTTGGGTCATTTACCTCATACATTCATGCGCCGCCTGCTGCACTCGGATGTGCGCGCTTAACGCCTGCCTCCATCATCCCCTCCCACACGAAGCGACGGCTGATTTGTGTAGCAGCCGAGATGGTGGCCGAGCAGTGCGACAGTCTGCTGCCGTCGGCGGCATTGCGGTATTTCCCTGGGGATATGGCAGCGTAAGTGGGCGCTTTATGAGAAATTGCGCAAAACAAAGCGTGTAGAAGCTGCAGCACGAAGCTCGAGCACGAAATCTTCAAGACGAAAACCAGCAGTTTCCGGCGCTTACTTGCAAGTGGCAAGTACGTAGCAAAGATTAAGGATACGAAAGTTCGCGGAGACCACTAGCATTGCATGTAGAGGCACACACATACACATACACTAATGCTGTTGCAAGTATAAGTACAAGGGTATTTAAAAATGCTTGCGCCATAACCAAATCGCGTTCTACTTATGCGCATCGTTGATCGTTGCGGTGCCACCACAAGTGGTTAGTGGCAAGTGGCAAGTGGTGCCGGCCAACTGCGCAACACTCACTTGCTCAGCCATACGCAATGCACACATACACGTACACATACACAAACACATAAATATATACAGAGGCACTTACCTTAATCGCTCCAATGGCATTGTGCTTCGTTGCAAACGTCACAAAAGCGCAACCTTTGCTCTGCCCATTTTGGTCGCGCAACACCGTACACTCCTCGATGGTGCCATGGCCCGTGAACAGCTGCCTCACATCGGCCTCATTATACTTTTTATTCAGCATGCCAACGAAAAGTTTACGCTCTGAAATGAGGAAAAACAAAAGCGGAATGTTGAAAAGCTCTGCACAGCAAAAAGTAAAAACAAAAACGGTTGAACTATTGCTGCAACGGAGGCTGCAACTCCAAAAAAGACGTGTATGCCTTGGTGTACTTGCAACATGCACCAACACACACAAATTATATACTTATGCTTTCATATGGCCGAATATAAGCACATAATTTGAAAATTACAAACTCAAACACATACATACACACACACACTCACGAAAAATGAACTTTAAACAAACTACAAAAATAATTTGCTTCGGGAAGTGGTTGACGGACGCTGCTGTAGGGTTAGCACGTGTAAGCACGCGCAAAAAGTAAAGAAGCAATAAACAGTAAAAAATACAGGAAAAACTGTAGTTTCGTTTGCCTCAAAACTTTAATACCCTACACAAATACAAAAAGTTCAATACAATATTTAGACTTTGAACGTTCAGTTTGTATGACAGCTATATGCTGTAGTGATCCGATCGACACAATTTTCTCAGACATTGCATTGTTGACGCGGAAAATAATTCACGCCAAATTTCGCGAACATATCTCCTTAAATAAGAAATTTTTCCATACAAGGACATAACTTTGAACGGCCAGTTTGTATGGCAGCTATATGCTATGTTAGTCCGATCTGAAAAATTTTTACAAAATTTCATTAATTTATTTTCGCAATAACTCATGCCAAATTTCATGAATATATCTTGTCAAATGAAAAAGTTTTCCATACAAGGACATAATTTTGAACGGTCGGTTTGTTTGGCAGCTATATGCTATAGTGGCCCAATCAAAACAATTTGTAAAAAATATCAAATCGGTTCTCAGACGAATACTATTTATCAAATTTTAAGCAAATATATCGTAAAGTAAAATATTTTTCCATACAAGGATATAATTTTGAACGGTCCGTTTGTATGAGAGCTATATGATATATTGTTTCGATGTAAAATTTTTTTTCTGAAAATTGCATTATTTACTTAGGCAATAAACTGTGCCAAATTTTGAGAAGATAACTAGTCAAATGAAAAAGTTTTCCATACCAGCACTTGATTCCAATTGTTCAGTTTGTATGACAACTATATGATATAGTGATGCGATATCGACTATTGCAATGAGTGAGCAGCGTTTCGATGGGAAAAGTACAAGTGCAAAGTTTCAGAACGATATCTGATAAGTGAGCGACTACATCGTATATATAATATATACAGACAGGAGGACATGACTAAATCGAACGAGTTCATCATTCCAAGCATTCATATTAAAATTTTTTCTTTTGGATGTTACAAACATTGTGGCAAACTATGTTAAGGGTATAAAAAAATAAAAAAAACAAAAAATAGCAGAAAAATATTAAAAAAGTATTCACCGCGCATAAACCGCAGAAAAGTTGTTTCACCATAATTGCAACAATAATGAATGCACATGAAAGCCATATTTACGAGTATTTATGAGTAGTTGACGCGCGCATAGCAGCTGCGCTCCCAAAACCAAGTGCTCATTACTAAAATTACCAAAGCGCACACAACACACACATACATACACAAATAAATAACCCAATGCGCTCAGGTGAAGTGGTTGCGGGGCAGTGTTGCATGTAAGGCAAGTGGTGAAAGCACACCTCCAGCACTTTATAGACAATAATACCAACGACATTAACTGCAAAACGACTACCAATTGCCAGTGCGCCTGCGTATATGCTACGTAAAACCGGCAAGCTGTTGCACGCTTCAACTGATGCTTGAGTACGCGCGACGCTTGAGAACCTGTGGCCGTGGCAACTGTTGTATCGACGGTGCAGCTGATGACTGCTTGTTGTTTATATGCGACTTTTTACGCACATTGAATTTGACTTATTACAGCTGTTGCCACTTATATAGTTGCACATAAATACAACAATATACGTTGTAGTGTTTGTAGGCGTATAAAGGCTGTGCTTGCTTTAATTTGGTTCCAAATTATTTACTAAATGAGGCTAATGAGTGTAATTGCTATTTTCATATAATTTTGTATATTTTTCGTAAATCATAATCTTGTTACATTGATAGATTTAGCGATCACTATGCTTGACTATCGTGAGTGAAAATGGGTAAGAGTTTTTTAATTGGATAATAGAGGGTTTTATGACTTGAAAAATAATAAAGAAAAAAGTGTCTTCTAACTATTATCACTCATTGAAGACTTGTTGAAAAGTTCTTTTATCTTTCAGAGACGTCTTAACACTAGAAAAGGAGGTCGCTCAAGTCGAATATCAGAAAAAATCTTTTAACATAGCTGAAAATAAAGGAGTTCTCAGTCTCATTGATACATATGTATGTGTTGTGTACCAATAAATATTCGATCAGAAATTGTATGAGTAAATAATCGTCAGAGTAAAGTATGTTGAGTGAGAGCCTTTCAATCGGAGGCCGCAAGTTACAACAAATCATATTCGAAGTTTACAGAAAAGCATTTGTCAGCGTCGATGGTCCCTCTACGATTGTATCATTAATTCTTCACCACATTTGATCTGTGATAAATTTCCATATCGTGATAGTATAAGCAAGAGAAATCTTCATCCACTTTTTTAGAAAGAAAAATGTCTTCAATAATCAGGATACCATCATAGTCAAGCTACTCTAGTTTTAGCCTGCACTGATACTGACAGACAAAACCGGATTTTAACTCGTCTGGTCATCCTGATTACATTGATATATTTTGTGTGAGAGTCTTTAACCGGTAAGTAAAAGTCTCAGGTTACAACAAATCATGTTCCAAACATACGGAAAAGTATTTTGTTCCAGTGATTACTCCGCTGTAGATATAAAATTCCTTACACTCTTAGATACAGCTTGAAATGGAATTTGAAGTCTGTCGTGCCAAATTTCACTATATGACTCAAAAAAGTTTGTTTAATCAACATTTAAAATAGAAAAATATAATTCCGAAATTAGAGTAAGCTGCTCTGAAATAACAACTGTATCTTTGTTGGCAGTTTGCGAAGTCTAAAATCTTCAATAGAGGAACAACAATTTGAACAGAGGAAGACATTTGAAGACATTCCACAAAAAGAACACGTTAACCACTGAAAGAGTTGCAAGAAAAAATGAAAAACGGTGAGGAAATATAAGCGTTTTGAACTATACAATAAAGAACTAGTAGCGAAACTGTCACAAACGCATCAAAACTGTATGAATTGTTTGGAAAGTGACTTCAGAAAGGTCGCTTAGTGAGGTTGCCTAATCAACCGGAGTTTCTGAGTAAAATTTGAATTAAAGTTCGTTGCTTAAGATATTAGTAGAGGTAGAAAGTTATGTGCAGCTTTGAACTAGCATGAAACTGACATATCTTTGACTGAAACTGGCAGCTCCCTGACCGTCGGCTGACTGTTTCTAACTGACAATTGATTGTATAGAAAGAGACAGTTGCCTGACTAGCTTAGCTTTTGGGTTAAACTCGTCGAAAAGTAATTGATAACTATTCGTTTTAAGTACAAAATATCAGTAATATAGAAATATATATTTGCACATGTGTATTTAATCAATGCACTTGAGAAAATTATTGAATTGAATTGAAGGTTTAAGGATAACGAAATATTTAGAACTATGAGTCTGAAACTAGCTGTGCACATAATAGAGGTACTACTTATAAACACGAGGAGGGTGTAAGAACGATCCAGGGAGAATGATGATCAAATAGAGGCTGCGTGAGAGCCAGCCGGCGATTCTTAATAGCGAAAGCAATGAGTTCAGTAATATTGTACGCAGCACCAGTATGAATACACGTAATGGATATAAAAGACACATATGTGTCAGTTGAGTGAGAAATGAAAAGCTGTTAACGAAGCATAATGACAAAACTGAGGCTTTTCAAAAAATTAGACATCCTTCAGTCCGCACAATAGAGGCAGGCGACTTAAATGTCTTGTCTTTCCCTCAAAGTAATAAAAATCGCCGGTTCCGTGGGAGAATCTTAGGTTGGGAGTAGGTTAGGTTTAGCGAATACAAGTTTCACACTCCGGCTTGCGCTGCTTTCCCCCACAGCTTCGTGTTTCGTGTTCATACTAGTTTTCAAGTAATTGATAATTAGTTAATTATATAAACTTGATAAATAATAATATGGTATATATTCTATCTTCACTGCTTCAAATATTCATTTCTTCGTTTCTTGCCTATCTAGCTTTTATTTCAACATACACTATATATTTAAGAAGTTTACATAAAACAAAACAACAAAATATCAGCTATACAATCTACATTAAGCACATCGAGTGTCAATATTTGCCCTAAATCTTTATATACGCCAGTCATTTAATTATGCAACTTAAAGTCTTGCGCCAGCTACGCTTCATTGTGTTAGTGCAAAATGTTATAAATTCTCGAAACTTTCGCATTATCACGCCGCAACTTACTTTCGTTAGTTGCACAACAAGGCAACAGCAACAAAGCAGTGTTGCAAGTTGTGCGCGCTTAAGCCAAAGTGCATTGGCAATACTACTCGTTAACAAACACTTCAATAAGAAAAATTTACCCAATAATCTAAGAACGTGTACGACTAACGGTTTATGCCACTACACACAACCGCACACACAAACACAAGCAAGCACAAAGTGCCAAAACGAAGTGTTCGTAGACGACACTCGCAATGAAAATAAATTTTATTTCCACAACAATTTTTGCATGCGCACAAGCGAAGCGGGCGGTTTGGGGGACAGCACAAGTGACACACGTCCGAAAACTAACCTCAAATAAATTGTGTGCGCTAAGAAAGCGGCAGCAAGTAGTTGCAGCAGAAACTAAGCAATAAAAAAGAGGAGAGAGTAAGCAAGAAAGAAACGAGCGAGTGCACAAATTTGTGTGAGAATAAGCGCCAGTCGTATTTTATAAACAAACAAGCTCCACTACAGCAAGCCACAAGCGCATGAACGCAGATATATAATATATATATGCTGACTAAAAATATATATATACAGCAATACAAGCCAACTAAAGCGTTGAAGGAAAATTTAAG